GCTGAACAGCCCAGAAATTTCATTTGTATGTGCAACTGGATTTTTTGTTTGGCTCTGAAGGGGTACTTGAATGACCTGAATGAACAGATGCACAGACTGAACCAAAAGAAGCTGGACTGTTTGTGTTCACTACTCACCGCCCCAGGCCGTGGCTCTGGCACAGGGTGGTTGTAGGTGTACCACTGCTGGGTCTCTCGGTTGACTTCTCGGTAGCGCCCACTGAAGGCTTTTTCCACCTGGGCCATGGTGAAGGCACACACTGCTGAGCTGCCTGATGCTCCTTTATACCTATGAGCAAAAAGGAGGATTTATAGTGTTTTTCTTGTTACAATTTATTGAGGATTTTTTGCTGGGAAAATGGTCAATGACACAACACTCTAGCTTAGAGTTTGATCAGGCCACATACAGTATTTCTGTCCAAACCTGAACCATGCCCAAAGAGTGTGGTATCCAAACCCGATGTGGACCTGACACAGTTGAGTTTTTAATGTTTGTTGTTTTTTTTTTTTAAACAAAGGAGACACTTGAGTGCTCCAAGCATTTGGCCTAAAGTTTGACCCATGTGTCTGAACCCGACCTGGACCCAAACATAATTTCTAAATTTCTGTCTAAACCTAGTCTGAAGCCTCGGGTATTGATGGGTCCCTTGGGGCTTGGTTTGGGTATCGACACTCTACTCTTATTATTCAGAAAACTTTTAAACACATACTTGGATCTATTTTATTTCAGCATGTTTTTTTTTTTTTTTTTTTTTTTTTACTCAAGCCACCCTTCCTGCTGTTTTTGTCATTTGATTCAGGAAACATGAAGAGCAGTTTCTATTTGGATAACAGTTGTAGAGTGGGCACTGATTCCAGTGTTTAAATCTTTAGTTTGTTGATACATTAATTAGACATTGGGATTGCATGAGCTAGTTAATGTTTAAGCTCATTACAGATGCTTTAATTTTAGAAGAGCCAAGAAAGAAAAGGGCAACTTGCCAGGTTTGAGTGCAGCTATTAAATAAAAACAGGATTCAGGTGGTGTGTGTATGTGCATTAAAGCACACGTGTGTGTGTGTGTGTGTGCATGAACATAAACTGTAACAGTGCCATTAATCATATTTGTTTGTCTCTTACCATTGCGAGGTGAAGACGCCGTAAAAGATGGTGCTCTCCCAGCTGTCTGCCATAGGCTTCAGCACAAACATGTCCTGGATGATGTTGAAGGGGAAGCCGTCATCAGGGAGGGAACACAGGAGCTGAGCCTTGAGGAAGGTGGTCCATTTCTTCTGTAGCACCCGCTCACCTCCCTTATCACCCTGCAAACAAAATGTTATGAAAGTTCTGTTTTTTTTTTTGTTTTTTTTATCTAGCCACGTCTGTGACAAGTGCTCCTTGACTGTTTCTGTTTTGTTTGGACTAATGTACACTGATGGCTCAGCAATACACATGGAAGAGATACACACTGGGTGAGGTCAGTCTCAGATAGGTGACACTGTGGTATGAAGGATCTGTAACAGGATAAATGATATCTTTACTGTAGTTTTGAATGTGCTGTTCAACTGGAGAGACTGTAGCTGTGATGGAAAGGTCACAGCGCCACAGCCTCTTGACAACAAACCAGGGCTGCCAGAAAACAGGAGTGGAGTAGTAGAGTGGACTAGCAGCAAACTAATAAGACAGACATAAAGTATACAAAGCCCATGTACAAGCAAGTAATTCAGATTTAACTGCTGGACTCAATGTCCATTCTCCATGTTGGTGCACTCGAAGCTTTAAGTTTCCATGACTGGCTTCCAACTAGCTGTGATGCCATAAAATCATGATCATACAACCATTTATATTCAACTGTTTTGGATTTGAAAAGGTTTTCTGGCTGAAAACTCACTCATCTGAAATCAGTCTCATGCACATGCATCATTTTGAATGTCAACAATAAACAAAGCATCATTCTGAGGGGGACTTTAAATATGCTGCAATTTACAAACTTTTCGACAGATGTGCATTACCCTTGTGTCCTTGTGTTGTGTCACAACTGCAATCCCTTCCCTTTAATTTAGAAGGCACTGTTGAGATCAAATAAGGAAAGTTAAAGGTGTCTACTGCGATAGTTATGATCCTTTTTAAGAAATAAAAGGGACAAATAGTCACCAATAAGAATTTCAGTGTCCTGGTGGAAGCTTTTAAAATCCTTTCCTGTCGTGCAGCCTATGAGCGGTACATTGTATATCGAATTAAAAAGGATAGTTTGACAAATTGTGAGACAAAAAAAAGCTCTCCACATAAAAGATTCCTTAGTGTAAAATATCAGTGGTTTTCTTGAAGGAGAGGCAGTGGTGAAATGGAAAGCAATGATTAGTTATTAATTACAGATCTGAAATTAAGATCTGTGGTTCACGCCTCACTTCTCCTCCAACACACAGAGGAGGAATTCACTCACACACAGTAATCAGACATCTTTGCTAGGACAAACAAAGAGCCTCTAAGCCCTCCCCAGCAGAGACTCCTCCTGAATACAGCTAGCACGCTGCAATAGGAGGGAGAACAGGACCAAAACAAGTGGTCTCGCCCAGTCTCAAGACAGTTTTCAAACCTCAGATCCAAACGGTTCCATCAGCCTCCAAAACCCTGAACTCCTACATAAGAGCGCCAAGAGTGAATCACCTTTGATGAGATAATAATATGCAAAGCTATAACTGCCTCCGTTTCCTCCTCTGAGTGCTGTTGCGCACAAACAGCCATCATGCCTGGTGATCGAGGTGAAACCTCTTGGGACTAAAGCAAAGTCTAGAAGCCAATTACTAGGCTGTAGTAGTAGCCTGTCCACATATTGAGGAGACCACATTTCTGCTCTGTCAGCTGTCCACCACTGCTGTTGCTGTGCAGCTTGTACTTTCAACTGCTTTGGACACTCCTCCGATAGCTGTCCTCCAAACATATGCTTACATTTTGTCTGAACTCTACACTTCAGATTCCTCACATGTCAACCTGAGGAGTAAATGAACAAGAAGTAAAGAAAACGGTGCCACACACTGCACACAATCTGCCTGCTTTGCACAGTCTCTCGGTGTGCACACCTGAAAAAACAAAAGAAACAGGGAGTGGAACAAGGGAGGGGGACAGATAGGAAAAGAGTGGGAGAAGAAAAAACCAAGGCAAATGCAGAATTACTTGGCAAATGCAAGTAAAACAGTAGTTAGAACAGCAAAACATGGAGACAAATGAAGATATTTATCTTATCTTAAAGGATGAAGGCCTCTTTATAAGGTAGCCAAATGTCTGCCAAGATAAAACAACACGCCTAAACTGACTCAAATATGAACATAAAACCACATTCAAACATACTTGGACTTGGCTTGGTACACAGAGGGAGTATATGCTCTTTGTCAGTGTGCAAAAGCCCACTAGCAGGGAGGGGCCTTCATACCTCAGTGTTACTTCACTCAAGTTTGAGTTCACTATTTTCTGCTCATTCAAGATGCGACACAAAACTCTTCATTCAACTTCATCCTCCTTTACTATGTGTGCTGGTTTATCACCCACCGAAAGCCAATAAAGATTTTAATTGGGAATTCTCTGACTTTGTAGCAACTATTTTACCAAACTTTGACAAGCTTGTATTTCTTGGGGATATTAATATCCATATTTGTTGTCCAGCAGATCTGTTCACCAGGAATGTTATTAATCTTATTGGCTCTTAACTTGCCTCAGTGGGTCCAGGGCCCGACACATGAAAAAGGACATACTCTGGACCTTGTCTTACAGGTTTTCTGTCACTGCTGTTGAAATTTAGCTTCACTTCACTGGCTTCCAATTAGTTTTAGAATTGAGTTCAATATCTTAAGTATTTGTTTTTAAAGCACTTAAAGGTCAGGCCCCCCTTTATGGAATGAATTATGGAATACTTTGCCACTCAATATTAGAGCGACTGCTGACCTTAAAGCTTTTCGATCACTACTTAAAACTCACTTTTAATAAACTGCCGAACCTGCAACAGGAAGGGAAAGTGTGGAGGAAGTTGTCTGTGTCTATGGAGACAGGTGTGCGACCACCAGCCATCCACTGCACAATACGACTTTGAAGTAACTGGAGCATCGATATGTTATGTGGCCTTGTGAGTTACCAAAAAAAAAAGAAGCATTTTTCTTTAATATTATTATTTGTTGATTGATTAATAAGCTGTGAAAGTTTAAATTCGACAAATCAGACTGAGGCTGCTTGATAATTTAGTTATTGTAAATGCAGAAGAATGCAAAGAAATGTGCAATACAGGGCCAGACTTTTATACTATAAAGACATGTTGAGCATGTTTTAATGTATGTTGCAATACATATTTTCATAAATATTAATACTGCTACAGTTTTAACTCTACTAGTAGTTGTTACAGTAGCAGCAGGCAGTGGAATAGCAGGCTATGCATGGGAAGTTCATATAGCACATTTCATTCATGCCTGTGCCCCAGTAGATCTTTATGGCTAGCAATGCTCCTGCTAGTACAAGTTTCAACTCAAATATGAAACATTCTTCATTATCAAAGAAACTCTGTGATACTGGTGTAGCGTGAACAGGAACTGTAAACAGACGGACAACCTCTAACACTTATTTCCCAAAAGTAAAAAGCTGACCCCCCTACCTCCAGGGTTAATGCTGAACTAAGAGCCATGATAATCAGGGACACCAGCATTTTGTTTTGGCGTTGTTACACGCATTATTTTGACAGTAAAATGTCCTTGGAGATGTTGACTTGCTGCAGAAGGTAAACATGTTCTGCAGTACTGGACAAAACTGAGCAGTTTGACTTGGCTGTTTTTATTGGAGAAATCCTCATTTATCCAGAATTCACAGTAAATGAGTCTAAAACCAGGCATGTTTTGGCAATGGATACTTCTGTCTCAAGTCAGATTATTAAGTTAGTGTAGATCCAAACCATATTCAAAGCCTATCTTTAAACCGGACCCAGATCTTTACAGCATCAGTTGATCACGTGTAACAAGCTGATGAGGGGCAACATGTGAAGGTTTGTATGGAATGTGAGCAACGTTTACATTTACTAGTTACAAATCACAGAAAAGCATTTATTTTTGTAGAAATGATGCAGTAAGTGAAATTCTTAAGTGTCGTCTCCTACGTTTCATTGATTTGTTAATGTTCTTAATCATTTGCCCAGCACACTGGAGTACACACCACCTGCAGCACTATTTTACTGCCATAGAACGGCATGTGAAAAGACCTCAGCCGGGAGGAAAAGAGGGCTGCTGCATTCCAGTGAAATAAAGGTGCTTTATAGAGCAGAGAAAGCCATTCTTTTGTCTCTATTGCACAGTTCATCTGCAGCAAGTTGCCACAGTCTGGGGTCCTTTCTGTCAATGATTTCCATATATAGAACCCAGGAGGTGCTCCGCTGGCTGCGACAAGTGTCGCAGCACTGAGTGCCAGAGCCTAGCAGGACTAAGTCATTAAGCTGTCACGTAAGATTACATGCTGTCCCCACGATTACTCACATTACTGCCTCCATGAACAAGAAACATCAGTCAGGGGGGGAAGCTGAGTGCACATATATCAAGCAGCTTCATAGCCATTTAATTGATCCAGTGACAGGCAAAAAAGTATAAAGTCTGTAGGCGATTATTTGGAGTGACTGACCAAACATCTGCAGTTTAAATGATCTGAGAACATTCTGCAGTCGCTACAGTTTGCATGCTTTAGCAGCAACCAAAACAGGCCATATAGTAGAGTGGGAAAAGCATTTCATATTGCTGCCAAGCACCCTTTAACACTACAAAAGCCTGCAAAAGCTTAAAGAAGTGGGGGAGAAAGGCAAAGAGCTGGAGGAATGGACGAGTGCAGACGACATTGTGAGCGATGGAGACGGCGAGATGACATTGCAGAGAAAAGAAGATGGGGTGGGGGGAAGATGATTCAGGCAAGTGGAAACCAAATCTGTTGAAAATGTGTTTGTACAGTCAGACGGAAACAGCTTCGAAGCACCAGCGACATGTTTCCATAGCATCTACACAGGCATAAATGTTACCAAACATGCTTTGACATGGGAGCGTCTCCCATTGTTTTGAGGTAATGGTATCAGGATTAAGGAGAGGAAGCTTGAGCCTCTTACTTTTGCATGGTCGTCTTATGTAATGACCTCACCCCATCCCCAGGTGTCTTACCTTACACACGCGAGCAATCCTTGACACAATGGTGTTGTCAAAGAAGTCAAATTCTTTTCCTGCCTCGCTAAAGAAGAAGTAAATCTTGTTGTCGTCGCTCACAGGGTTGCCTACTGGCTGACTCTCCTCGATGTAAGCTGACCCGACAAAGACTGGGTCTGTCAAAAAATGGAGAAGTCGGTGGAAACATGTTGCCTCACTAATGATCGCTACTTTTTGGAGCTTGTTTGCTCTGCTGGGAACATAATGGAAGATAGGTAGAAGGAGAGAGAAAAGAAAAGCAATCTGCCATCTGGAGTTTACCTTGCAGCCATTTTAAAGAGTTTTCTGTCTTCAGTGCAGTTCCCTGACCCAAACTCTTGTAAATAACTGGTTCATTCCCTTGGAAGTTGCTGACTGTACCAGTGTACAATTCACCATCTGGAATGAAAACAAACAAACAAAACAAACTCATTGCCAGATTTTAAATAAAAAAAAATTAACACAAAGAAATCACGTGCTGGGTACTTCCTACAGGTGAAGTCAGTAATTGTTGAGGGAGCTGTTAGCACCATATAAGACAACAGACAGACGGAGTGAGGAGCTGGACAAATAATTTCCTTCACTCATATCCAGCTCAATTATTTACTAATTGTTTGTTAAATAAGTTGAAAACAAACAGTGTTTGTTGGTGACTGGCTATTTATCAGACAGTGTGCTGCAGACAAACAACATTAGCAGGCACATCAGGACTCATTACCGAATTAAAGATGTAGCCCACATCAAAGTAGCTTTAGAAACAGCCGAACCTGTTTTCAGAGAGTCTTACCAGAGGGAAGCCACTTATAATAAAACCTTTAAAAAAGGAAGCTGTATACGACTACATACCAACGATGATGGCAGTGGATTTGTACTCGGGATTAAAGGGGCAGCGACTGCGCCCATCTTCCATCACGACCTCGCCTAGTTCATCTCTCCCCAGTGTGAAAGTTGACGTGTTCTAGAAACAAACGCACACAAACAGCAAATGTCCTTCAGGCACAGTCATTTATGTTTATAGTAAAGAGTGAGCTCTGCATCTTTGAACTTATTCTCTCCACTTATTCATTACAATACAGAAAGAGCATGGACTTTGTGAGAGTTTGGTTTCAAACATCCAGCAGCTCCATCTAGTCAATAAGCCAAGCCTTGAGTTTACGTCATAGGCAACCATGTTATTTCTAAAGTGAGACAATGAAAACTCTATGGCTGGTTTATTGCGATGATATATAGTACATCTAGACTAACTGAGCTGATACAACAGATGTTAAAGGATTCAGTTCAAGTTCAGTTCCATTTCATTTACATAGCACCAAATCACAACAAAAATCTTCTCGGGGCACTTTGCATAAAAAGGTCAAGGCCTTCCCATTCAAGGAAAATAAATCTGATTTGAGCAAGCACTTGGCAGCAGTAGGGAGGAAGAAACCTCTGACAAAACTGGGCCCGGGGTGGGCAACCGTCTGCCTTGACAGGTTGGGGTGAGTGGACAGAGGATGAGTGTGGTGAAATTCTATTTTGTCTAAATGCCAACAAATCTCATGAAAACTAACAACTAATAGTAACAGTATAACAGACAAAACAAGCAAAGTTATTGAATTTCTTTAGATATACAATAAAGAAAATCTGCAAATTGTCAACTTTTGAGAAGCTGTAAACACCATCAGGATCAGCTGAAACGTAGATATGCTTTAGCACAGAAAGCAGACAGTAAACTTACATTAACATTGCTTTAAGAGGAAATCTCTTTACAGCCTCACATAGAAAAGAAACAACTACAAAAAACATCATGTAAATTACAAAATAAGACAATTAGAAGAAAAATGTATGTTGACAATTTGCAGTAACAATGATAACTGCTTCCATTTACTAATAATCACCTCAAACAGGTCAGTACATACATAGTGCCTCCACTGCCTGGGAAATCTTCCCATGCTTCAACATCAGAAGCTGTTGTTTTACTGAGCTTGTTTTAATTCATGTCTGTAATTTGGATTGTTTAGTGTATCTTCCTGGCTCCACTGTAACATACTCTGCAGCTGTTTTGAGAAGCTATAAAAATAAAACATTTATTAATGTTAATATGCATCTCAGAGTATGTCTGGCCAATAGGAATGCTATGGGTGACATGCATACACACAAACACAGCTACGAACTCTGTCAACACGGTCACTGTTCATCCAGGCTAACTGGGCTCAGGCTTTCTTGGAATCCCAGTTCAGGGCCCAAAGTCCTGCCAAGGCATTTTTAGTCTGAGATGCTGCATGTTTTTCTTTCCCTCTGACGTCAAAGGGAAGAGTTTACTGTCCTGCTTTAAGAGCTGAGCTGTTGCCAAGCTCGATTGCCCCCCCGCCCCCAACAACGCTGAAGTCAATGTCATCCTGTTGCCTGTTACCATCACTCCACATGTACTCCTCCACTCGATAAATAGATCTACTGCTTCCCACTTGCTGGAAACCAAACAGCTTGTGTACGCCCTGCTGACTTGTCAAGATAAAGCATCACAGTCGGATTTGGTTACGCTTGGATAACAACAGATCCAATAGTGACACGGTAGATCAAAGACCTTGATTACTCAAGAAAACCAGAACAAATATACAGTAGGTACGGAAAGTATTCAGACCCCCTTAAATTTTTCACTCTTTGTTATATTGCAGCCATATGCTAAAATCATATGCTAAAAGTTCATTTTTTTCCTCATTAATGTACACACAGCACCCCATATTGACAGAAAAACACAGAATGTTTGACATTTTTGCAGATTTATTAAAAAAGAAAAACTGAAATATCACATGGTCATAAGTATTCAGACCCTTTGCTGTGACACTCATATATTTAACTTAGGTGCTGTCCATTTCTTCTGATCATCCCTGAGATGGTTCTACACCTTCATTTGAGTCCAACTGTGTTTGATTATACTGATTGGATGTGATTAGGAAAGCCACACACCTGTCTACATAAGACCCTACAGCTCACAGTGCATGTCAGAGCAAATGAGAATCATGAGGTCAAAGGAACTGCCTGAAGAGCTCAGAGACAGAATTGTGGCAAGGCACAGATCTGGCCAAGGTTACAAAAAAAAATTTCTGCTGCACTTAAGGTTCCTAAGAGCA